CACGCAGTGGACAGCTGATTGAATCAAATCATTGCAAAGTTAAAGGTATTTTGAAGGATTTTCGTGAATTTTTTAAAAGACCTGCCCTGTTCACTTAAAAAAAAATGCACATGCACAATCCTGTACCCGAGAGGGATTGCTTATTAAATGCGTGTGAGAGCATGCATGAGCCCAATTCTCCTCGTACATGCTCTGTTTAAAAGTTGCTGTTCACATAGCTCATACAAGCTTACTGTGACCGAGCATCCGCTCTAACCTCTAAATCCCTCAATTACTATATAGAGCAGGGACTATATAGTGGACTTTATAGTGAACTCTGTTAACTGACTGTTTGGTCATATGATTACAACTTTTTACTACCTGTTGGTCACATAACTCCTCCTCCACGGCTGGTTAGCGACGGCCTATGGTGACAGCAGGCCACTGTGACAGCAAATCCCATGATGCTTTGCAATGAGAGCTCTCCGCGCAAAGCATTCAGGGATATATCTGCCTCTTTTGAAGCCTTTCTTTTCTTCTCATTAACTCTAGAGACACTTTTTCTCTAACTACCCTCAGCCATTTTCAAAGAACCGCAGTGAGCTTCAATGGCTGTCTGAAACTGTAGCTCACCACAGATATACACCTGAAAGTGAGCATGCCCAAAAAAAGAGTTGTCTTCCTTTTATGTTATGCTCATGAATATTTAGATGAGCTGTGCGCTGATTGGTTGGTTTACAACAAGCGAAGCTGCTGAGCAAAGACGCATCGTAGCAACAAGCACTCACTCACTGAAAAATCTAATTGTTATTATAGTAGTGTGAACAGAAGATTTCTTTTTCATGTCCTACTTTTCATAACTAAAAAAAATGTCCAGGGGGAATTTCAAAATCATCCAGGATTTTGGTCTACTACTGTGCAGCAGAACCAAGCCGTGAGCTACTGGGCTGGTCCGGAGCAGGAAGCCAGCGGGGTACGGAGCGACTGTACCCGACCCGATGACGTTAGCCTGGACAATAGCGGCCCCCTGCTTCCTCCCACCTACCTTACCGTGCTTCCCCCTGCCTGCCTTACCGTAACCAGTTCAGGTTTGGACCACCCGCAGAGCTGATGGCTTGGTTTGAATACCCGGTCCGGTCCAGTCAGTGACTGGCTCATTTTCAATAGAGAAACTGCCTGCTTTGTAATTCTTGTAAAAGTAAACCCCACTGCAGGCTAAACACTGGTGTCTTACATCTACCCCTATTGATGTTCTTGGGCCAGTGAACCGGTGGGCTGGTCTGTATGTCAATTTCGAGGTGTGACAAAAGTACAGGCCAGAACCAAATAAGGCAACATCCC